TTTGTTTATCCATAAATGTACAGCACAGGAAGCAGGTGCCACAGCAATGCTTTTTAAACACCATTTTGCCTGTCTTAAACTCTGAGGGCAGTTTATTATTCATGTCTATTTGGTCCAAACTTTGTCAAGACTGAAAATAAGAATGATAGTTATGCTTGTGTTTTTTACAGTACAGACTTTGGTCTGATAGGAAGCAGATAAAGACCACAAAAGATGATGTGTGGTCTGACAGAAAGCAGATAAAAAAATCACAGAACATGATGTTTAACTTCCCCAAATGTCACTGCTAAGTTAGGTTATACATCTGAGTTGTACTCTGTAGCTGACAATGAGCCAAGCAATTGCTTCATAGGTTGGCATTTTAGTAAACAAAGGATGGTTCCCACATGGACAAATGTATTATGCAGTTAAGTGAATTATGAATGTATCAGATATGTATACAAGATTTGGAGTATGCTGTATTATGAAAACTGATCATGTAGAACACTTAGTCCTTAGATTCCTAATGTTATGAAACATTGCTAAGGAGGCGTTATATGCCTGCCTGCCTCTCTGTCTGTCTATCTCCTTTAGACTGTGGGACAGGGTGTTCCTGATAAACCTGCTGACCAAAGTCAGAAGAATTTGTTAGGGGAACAGGGAGCAGAATTTTTATAGTGCAACACCACTGACTTCATATTTAACAGAGATTCTGCTGGTAAATGCTTATGCTAGCTATTTTAAAACACAGGTTTCTAACTCCTTTACAGAAAATGGACTAAATAGAGCTTTTTAAAATAAAGAAATCTGTATCCCTTACCTCATATTTAATATTCCAAAGGTTATAAGTCTAGCAGGAGTGATTAAGTACTATTACACAGACCAAATAAGGACTAAGCACAAGGACTACGGTCTAGACAATACTCCTATAAAAGGAACATAATTGTCTGGTAACAAAGCTAACTACAACTTCTAGCTTGCAGGTCTCAAAAGGGAGTTGAAAAAATACGGTCATTTAAGAAACTGAAGGGCTTTACTATTTTTTACTTCTTTCTTTCATGCTTGTATTCTGTTAGGAACAAAAAACGAATGTTCCTAAATCTGGGCTGTTCCATGATCTTGACATTTTAGCATATGTAGTATGGTAATAATCTACAGTCCTACGATTTCACTCAGTATATGGATGTAAATCTAGGTGTTGGTCCTGTCACTATGCAGATTCAGACATGTTTTTACTCTAAAACATATGCAAGACCAGCTCTTAATTTTGCAGAGCAGGTCCATCTCATCTTTATTTTAAATATGTACTAATACAAGGGGAACAACTTGCTAGGCAGCAGTAGCACAGAAAAGGAGCTGGGGATTACTGTGGACCAAAATCGGGATATCCTTCAACAGTAAAGTATAGCTGCAAAAAAAGAAGGGGAAAAAATCCCCAACCATAAAGGCAAATCTCATTCCGAAGATGTATTAACAGAACGATCATCTGAAAGGCAGAGGAATTCATTATTCCACAGTACTTGGATATAGTAGAGCCTCAGGTAGAGCGCTGTGTTCTGTCCTGGGCATCACACATTTAAAGTACAAAGTAAGCAAATTGAAAATAGTTCAGATGATATGCAACAGAAATTATAAGAGATTTAGAAAGTATGACTTCAGAGAAAAAGTTGAAAGTTGGGTTTATTTGGTTTAGAAAAGAGAAGGGCAAGACAAGACATGATACCCTCTCTTACATACTTAACATCTATTATCTGTAAACATTACACTTAGATCAACCTAGCTAGGTTGATCTAAGTGCTGAACTGTACATCTGTTTGAGAATTTTAGACTGAGCAAAAAAATGGCTGGCCTGATCTAAATTAATTCACCTGAGAAGGTGCACTAAGTAGATCAGGTTAACCTGAGCCCAATTTAGCTGAATGTATATGTACGTTTGGAGTGCAGCCCTAGTGCTGGGAAAGGCCAACTGCTCACCCCAGCTCCAAGGCTGTACTTTTACTGCTCTCCCTCCCCAACCCTGACTAAGATACAGTTAGCCCTCCAACTCCACACCACGCCACGCATGCCTCCCCCACCCCAAATGGACAACCCCTGATCCTACCACAACCCCAGACCTGCTAGCCCCTTCACACCCCAACTTAATTACATCATGCTTCTGGCATGGTTTGTAGCACGTGGGAACATCTGTACATGCCCAGAGTGTTATAAGGAATACAACGATTGATTATACTCAATGCTCAGAGAAGCAGAAGAATACAGCCCGCTCACAATAAGCTTGCGATTACTTATTTTCCTATGATTTCTAACACAGTCACAAGCACGTTGCTTCTCAGTGAAGGCAGAAGAAATAGTTGGCTTAATTTGCAGCAAGGGATATTTAGGTTGGATACTTGGAAAAGCTTTCTAATGATAAAGAAGGTTAAAGCACTGGCACAGGCTGCAGAGGGAGCTTAAAGAATCCTTGTCACTAGAGTTTTTTAAGAATAGGTTAGACAAACATGTCAGGGATGGTCTAGTAGTTATACTTAATCCTGTCTCACAGAAGGGCTATGGACTAGATGAGGGTGGCAGGGACAGAGGCCCAGCCCCTGCTACACTCCTGTGGAACCAGCCACGCTGGCTGGGAACTCACCAGTTTGGGTCTGGATGCACAGCGTGGCTATGGAGCATGGGAAAAAACACAGCTGCCAGCAATCCCGGGAACATGAGGACACACACTGCGGGGAACCAGCAGTGAGGAGCGGGCAATTTAAAAGGAAGTCGCCGAGAGAACTCTGTGTTCAGTGTCCCCAGCACTGGAAAAGACCAATGGAGCCTGCCGGATGGGAAGACCTCAGAGGAGAAGCTGCACACAGACACTCTGGAACTGCCAGGACCAGGACCAGCCTGAGCAAGGAACAATGAACTCTCCTCAAAAGCTAAGTAAACATTGACTGGGGGGGTGGGGGGTGGGAGGCAGGGGAAGTCTAGAGCAGAGGGTGCCTGAGTGGAGGGAAAGGAAGTCTGAGAGATTCGTTTGTAAAGGAAAAGAGGGGATCAAGGCCCATGGCTAAGTGACCAGTTCTTTGATTTGGTGCATCCATGGCAGAGAATTATGCTGGGGGAAAGAAGAAGGTGAAAAAAAAACCCTTCCTCAAAGATTTTAGTTAGAGTTAAGAAAGAAGCTGGACCCTGTTCTCATAAGAACAGGGTCCAGCTTCTCACATGTTAAGAAGCCACAGTCAAAAGGCCAGGGGAGAAAGGGGAAGAAAGTTGAATGAGTTCCCAAAGATAATTTTGTTTTGATTTGATGGGAATGTTTATATATCTGCTGAACTGATGGGCTAGGGACAGATATTAAAGAGCCTGAGCCTGAATTGATTCAATCTTTGCAGGTTAGTCTAACCTGGCTAGGTTACATCAGTCTTGTAACCAGGCAGACATCCCAGAAATGCAGGCACATGCCTCAGTGCCTCAGGCTAGAAGCCAGGGGGGGTGCTACAGCAGCCCTCCATCGCTTCCACAGGGCTGAGCTGAGGGGGCATGGCCAGGCCTTGGCAGGATGCTCTGATTATTCCCCCCACCTCCTAAGCAGCCTAGCAGGGAGTGTTTATCAACTAAGTAAGAAAACAAAGCCTCTCTCCATTAACTAATGGAGCTCTTCTTAAACAGCTCTTTCACAGGACATTAAGCTACCTGTTGATTAGCTCCAAAAAGCCTGTCTGCCTGTTGTCTCCCAGAGCACAAACCAAAGCCAGCATGTGGTATGCTAGCTAATGAGATGCCTGTGTAAATCAGAGAAGAGGAGGGAATAATCCCTGCTCAGCAGCAAGAAACCAGGCAGACGCTCTGTGTCTGCAAATCTCTGCCAGAGCTCTGGCCAGGGAGCAGAGGGGAAGGGCCAGCTCTTTTGTGAAAAAGAGAGCCCCGCCCAGCCCAGAGAGCATGCCAGGATGTTGAGGGTGTCTGGTTTATCTTAAAATCAGCAAGAGATCTGGGACAGACATTGCATAAACCGGTTTGAGCCAAATCAGTTAAGTCTGATACTACATTCAACCATAGTTTCATAGTTTCAGGGTCAAAAGGGACCTAATAGATCTTCTAGCCCGACCCCCCGCCAGGGCGGGAGAACAACCCAAAAAAAAAAAAAACCACTCACCCTAAAAACAAAAACGGGACTCAAATGAGTCCAGCCAGGTAAGTATCCAGCCTCTTCTTAAAGATCCCCAGGGTAGGGGCCAGCACCACCTCCCTTGGAAGTTGGTTCCAGCTCCTAGCCGCCCTAACTGTGAAGTAGTTTTAACTTGAGGTTTAAACCAGGTTTATCTCAAACCAGTTTCAGCCATTTTCAAACTGGTTTATGTGCACTGAACATCTGTTCTGTTACAGGTTTAAACCAGTTTACGATCACTTAAACTAGTTTATGTATAATGTCTGTCCCTAGCCATGGAGGAGTAGAACTGGATGCTGTGAGTTGAAGACTAGGGGGAGAGAGGCAAAGAATAGTCTCTAATCGCCATCCATGGAGAATACAGACCATCAGCCCAAGAGGAAATGGAGAGAGTGTAGAGAAGGTAGAGCCCTACGGAGGAACTGCCATGGGTCAAGCTGATTGCCTAGTCAAGAATATCAGTCCTCCCAAACACTCATGTTTCATCAAGGCATGGCAGACGAATGGGAGGTACAGACGGAGGTCAGAACAACCCAATGAGATGCTGAAGCAGAAGAATACAGCCCGCTCACAATAAGCTTGCAATTACTTAGTTTCCTATGATTTCTAACATAGTCACAAGCACGCTGCTTCTCAAATTACCCTTCTGGGAACCCAAAAGAGATGGCTAAAAGTTTTCTGCTTTTGTAAACTGGTACCATTCTATTGACTTAATGGGACTACAGAAAATTATACCAGCAGAGTGTTTGGCCTAATACATTTCTTATGAGGTCTCTTAAAAGACAATCCTCTTTTCCATAGCAGTACAGCACATCATAGGCAATGTTCCTTGCTCTACAGACATGGAATTGGTAGGGGGGTAATTACTCACTCTTCGTCTGGCTTCTGCTTTCTGAAAACACTCATGCTGTATAAAGATAACTGCAGCAAGGATCCTGGACAGTGATGATGGTGATGACATATTTTCGTTATCCAATATGTTGATTGCATGTTCCATGGTCATCTCCCTTTCTGGACTCCTACAATACAGCCATGGAAGATGTAGTGAACCAACATGGCAGAGCATCTGAATGCAGGTGATAGGTGTTTTTTTTAAACCAGGCTATTCATTTCTTTCAAAACTCTTTAAGTTTACTTAAAACCTGATTGTCTTTTCCAGTAACAGAAGATCATGGTATTCACAGTGGCATGCAAAATACTTTGGGGAAAAAATGAACACATGACAAGTGTAGTTGTTCTGAAATGAGGGCTAGGAATAAACATTCAAAAAACCCAGGCCTAAATTGATTCAATCTTTGTAGGTTAGTCTAACCTGGTTAGGCTGAATCACTTTGTAACATGCCTGCAGTGGCCCCGGCTAGAACCCAGGGGGCACTAAAGCAGCCCTCCTTTCCTTCCCCAGGGCTGAACTGAGGGGGGTGTGGCCAGGCCCTGGCAGGATTAGGGAAGGGTGCCCCCCCTTGAATGATAACAGAGCATTTATCAGCTCAGTTATGAGCACTTATCACCTCAGCAGAAAAGAAACAGCTTCTCTCATTAGTTCAAACTCTTCTTAAACAAAGAAGGAACGAAGGGACATTACCAGCTGAGCTTTGATTAGCTCCAAAAAGTCCTAAGCCAACACTGCTATTTGCCACAGCACGTGTCTGTTAGCTAATGCTGTATTTCTGTGCAAGGCAGAGGGGACGGGGGATCCCTGCTTATCAGGAAGTGGGGAGGGGAGGGGGAAAGCAGGCAGACGTTGCTATGCCTGCAAGTCCCTGCTGGAGTTGCAGCCAAGGAGCAGAGGGGAGGGGCCAGCTCTGCTGTGGAGCAGACAGCCCTGCCTATCTCAAAGAGCATGCTGGGATGCTGGGGGAGTCTGGTTTATGTTAAATTAGCAGGGGGTCTGGGCCAGACATTGCATAAACTGGTTTGAGCCAAATCAGTTAAGTCTGATACTACATTCAACTGGGTTTATCCCAAACCAGTTTCAGCCATTTTCAAACTAGTTTATGTGCACTGAACATCTGTTCTGTTACAGGTTTAAACCAGTTTCTGATCACTTAAACTGGTGTATGTGCAATTACTTAAACTGGGGTACGTACAATATCTGTCCCTAGCCGAGGAGATTCAGTACAAAATAAACACTACTGGAATTACAAACAAAAGTAGAAGTTCAAAAAGGCAAAGCATTCAGCTCCTGTAGGGGATGAACAGTACATGAAAGTGTAGGCCCTAATGAAGGACAATGAGTTAAAATTATAGGGGCTCTTAGTGACCATCAGGTATGTCAATGTTTACTTTTCTCACCAGTACCATTGATATAATATATAGTCACTGTAGCTGTTTTAGTGTTCTATCCATTTTTTTCTGCTGTATTCATGGAGTGCTTGAAGCATTGACCTTTTTTTCTTGGGTGTATGCAAAATACTCTAGTTCCAAGCAGATGGAAAATGCCTGCTTAAGGTAGAACAAAACAAACAACCAACAAAAAATGACAATGCCATTTACTAAACTGAATGTGTAAATATTTTCACAGTGTCATTCAGAAACTGGGACTGCACACAGACCTTTGGGGAGGTTATATTGCATTAAAATTGGTCGCCTGATCTAAATTAGTTTGCCCATGTGTGAACCTTACACTTGGATCTCTAGTAGGTTGATTTAAGTGCAAGCTGTGGAAATGATTCAGGAAGATTAGATTGGTCTAAAAATGGCTGACCCAATCTAAATTATCCCTGCCTCTGAGGTAGTCTAACTTAGATTTGGTTGGCCTTTTTTAAACTGATCTAATTGTCCTGAACCTCTGTACAGTTCCCAGGGCAGCCCCAAGGCTGGAAAAGCCCAGCTCCTGGCCCCAGCCCCAGAACTGTGCTTTTCCTACCTGTTCCCCTGACACCAGGCTATTTTTAGCCCCCTAGCTCCTTGCCTCACCCCCAGATGTACAACCCTCTCCCCTACCAGCCCAGCAATCCCCCCCATTCTGCAAGCCACAGTTAATACCAGTTTTATCAGCATTCAGCTAATGCTGGGAGCTAAGGAAGTAAGTTGCAGTGGGGGAAGGGATGGGGGATAGGTTGGTTGGGGGGGGTGGGATGCGGGATAGGTTATTTGTCTGGGTTCAGGGGTGATAAAAATTAGTCCCTGGTGAGGGGCAAGAGGGTGGAGAACATTTTTTCTGCAAGAACATTTTTTCTCCACTTGTCCCACCAAAGCTCACTCCCCCCTACCCCCTGATCTCCCCTGTGGATCCTGCCTGACCCCAATACCCCTACAGACTCCCTGATCCCCCACCCCCACTAGTACCCTCCATCCTGATTTATGTTTGATTGGCTGGCTATTTTTAACTCAATCCAGCCTCCCCCTAACCTCCCCAAATATCTGTACACAGCCTAAGTGTCCATTTTCCTGCTACCTCTTAGCATCTTTGCCTGAATGACAATTACGTCAGACAACTAAATCAAAAGATGGAAGGAGAAGTCATCAGGTTCATCATTTTTTTAATAAAAATTACCTACAAGGGATCTATACTAATAAAATATGTATGCATTATGCATGCATATTAAGCATAAACTTAGAACAGATTTTTTTAAAAGTCCCTCATTACCCTCCAAAAATATTTCTAATTTACAGACAGCTGGCCAGGAAAAGGAATTTCAGTTCCAATTTTTTTTTAAGTTTTTGAAATTATAGTATTATTTAAAATCCTAAATGGGGCAAAAGGCCAGAAAATTGATGTTTTTGAGAAAGTGAAAGAATGCAATATTTAGATTTGGAAATACAAATGTTTTCAAAGTGATGCTTTCCAGCTGCCCCAGCAGGTAGCCAAGCCCAAGATCCAGTCTGCACAATGAACTGCAGCTACATATCCTAGAAGACTAGGTTTACCCTCACTCTACCAGTTGGACTGCAGAGAAGAAGAGTGGGTGAGACAGGCAATGTTCTGTCAAAAAAAATTGATATTAAAACATTTTTCCCAGAAACATTTCTAGTTTGCTGAATTGGAAAACGTTAATGAAATTAAATTTAGTTGGAATTTTCTTTAGCAGCTTTGAGTGGAAAGCTATAAACAGACATCGCCAAATAAAGCAGATAATCTGTGCAGGGATGTGACCAGACACACAGCTGATCTGCTTCATCAGGCGACAAAGACATTACTTGTTGTTCCACAGAGTTGGGTCCCTGCCACTCCTGGAGCTTCAGGGACCCAATCCTGCAGGACAGCTGCAAACAGAGGAACTTTAGGCTCCCTGCTGGCAGACATGCCCTGGGAGGCCCAACACTCTCCCACCATAAAGCAAACAGATGTCCATCACAAAGTGGCACACATTTACGTTATCTACTGTTGCAGCCACAATTTTGGGCATCTGTAGTGTGATGAGGGGCACAGACATCTGTTTACTTGGCTTTTGTGCTGCCCCAAAAAGCATAAGTTAACATCTGTGAGTGCTGGTGGTTGATTTAGGGCTTAACGCATGAGTACTTTAGGTGCAAGAACAGAGATCAATTCCGACACTTGCATCACAAGTGAAATTATACTTTTATATCTTGTAGATTCTAACTCCTATTATGTTTTCTTCTTTTTTTAATCATGCAGTTTTCTTTCTTTTTTCATCTCTGACAATATTTTGAGTAGATATATTTAAAATGTAGAGGATAAGGAATGCTCAGTAGGACAAACACATGCTCTCAATAACAGCAGGGCAACTCTGTAAAGGACAGGGCACAAATAAAAGCTGGAATGAAGGGAAACTGCCTGAGAAGGTCAGAGGGAACAGCAAAATAAAAATCTGCACAGGATCAAAATTAAAAACAATAAGTATCTCTTGTGCACCCTTACTATGTCCTGCAGTGCTAGCACTATTCATCATTTGAGTTCAGATAGCAAATAAGGCCAGTTTTAATCGGTCTCAGTATAGTCGGATTTGTAATTCACTTGCATTTTTTCTTACTGAGCAAACAAATCTGTCAGAGTGATCCCCTGCAAGGCATATTTAAAAATTCAAACACTCAGTTTCAAAAAATCTAAATTTGTTGCCCTGATTTATTTGTACTTTTACAAATGATCAAATACAAGGGCTAGAGGCCGACATTCAAAAAACCTGAGCCTGAATTGATTCAATCTGTGTAGGTTAGTCTAGCCTGCCTACGGTGAACCAGTTTGCAAGTGTACGAACATTTTCTCTGGACTGAGAAAATGCAGGAACGTGCCTGCAGTGGCTCAGACAAGAAGCCAAGGGGTGCTAGAGCAGCCCTCCCTTCCCTTCCACACTGCTGAGTTGGGGGGGTTATGGCCAGGACATGGCAGGATGCTCTGATTAGGGAGCGGTTTAAACCCCTACCTTGGCCTGCACTGTTCTAGGTTTTTCACCACTCACTGCTCAAGGGGCAGGAATGTTGCCAGTCCCCAGCCCCTGGCTAGCACTCTGAGACAAAGGGAGAGGGGGAGGGAGGACTGCTTGTGTGTTGTACATGTATCTGTTGATGATACTGAGCTTTCCAATCTCCCTCTCCCTGCTTCTTCATACTGTCTGCAGTAAACCTGACAGGCGAGGGAGCCAGCAGGGAGCTGATAACACAGTGTTTATCAGCCCATCAAGAAAACAAAAGCCTCTCTCATTAGTTCAAGCTCTTCTTAAACAGCTTTTTCCAGGGAAGGAATGGAGGGACGTTACCAGCTGACCTGTTGATTTGCTCCAAAAAGCCCTAAGCAGACATTCCTACCTGCCTTTGTCCTGTCCCAGTGAAATCGGAGACACACACACAGACACCTCTCAGCATTAGCTAGTTTACCACATGTCAGTTAGGGTTCGTGCAGTGGGAAATGGGAGGGAGGGAGCGGGGTGATCCCTGCTTGAGCAGCAAGTGGCAGTGGGGGGGTGGAAGGCAGGGCAGAGGGATCCAAGCAGACCCTGCTGTGCCTGCAATTTCCACCAGAGCTCTGGCTAGGGAGCAGATAGCCCAGCCTGGTCCAGGTCAGCCCAGCCCAGCTATCTCTGGAGTAGACAGCCCAGCCCAGGGCTGCAAAGCATCTGGGATGGTGGGGGACGCTGGTTTAAACTTAAACCAGGAAAGGGTCTGGGACAGACATTGCATAAATCAGTATGACCCAAATCAGTTAAGTCTGGTACTACATTCAACAGGTTTATCTTAAACTAGTTTCAGCCATTTTGAAACTGGTTTATGTGCACTGAACATCTGTTCTGTTATAGGTTTAAACTAGTTTCTGATCATTTAAACAGTTTATGTGTAATGTCTGTCCCTAACCTATGTTACTGATTAGCAAATAGGTAAATTAACTGATTAGCAAATAGGTAAATTAACTTCCAGGTCATTCTAAGAGACAGCTAGCCAGCTTACCTTAATTACCAAAATACACAGGAGCTGTAATACAATTTTTGTCTGATCCTTTTGTGGTCGCCTCAGTATAAATCAACATTTGACTCAAAGAGAAAGTTGCTTCCTAAACAGCTTTGTAACATCCAAGAGCAGCAGTATGCCAGGAGCCCTACTCATCTTTAGTGTGAGAAAGATTCTTGTGCATTGTCTTACTGGTATTAGTTTTAAAATGCATTTGTACACAATTTAAATTCTATGCAGATATAGTCTACTATTTGTCAATTCACTTAACATGTATAATTATTTTATATTGTCTTGATTGTTAAGGGACAGAAGTTGAGAACTGAATACAAACTTACATGCCACTTGAAAAATCAAATGACTTGAAATCGGATTTTATTGACTATCACTGTGGGTATAACATTCTACAACCTTGCAATCAAAAAAGGAAGGAGTAAACCTTGACCTCACTACCAGCAGAATTGAAACCTTAAATTTTTTAATATTCTCCTTTTCATAGCTGAACAATAATCACTGTGAGCTTTTCTTATGTGGCCAAAAGCTGCAGTTTTTACTTACATGTCAGAAAGAGGTTTTGGGGAAGGGAACTCCAGTTTGGGTAAAATCCTGGAGCCACTGAAGTCAGAGAGTTTTGCAATAGACATCAATGGGGCCAGAATTTTGCTTACTTTATTTTACAGAAATAAGGCCCAAATCCTAATTCTGCTCACACTGGCATAATTTGTGTAGGGTCTAACTATAAGGAGTCATTAGAAACTGATGGAGGATTGGAGGATTTGGTTCAAAGCAATTAATACTCCAGCATTTACTCCAAGAGAAATCCTTTTCTAAATCTTCTATTTGTGGAGATTACTGTTACAGAAAAGCATCTGCAGGGCCAAATAACATTCTCTTCTATTGATATAACTTCATAACAATTCAGTTTTAGGCTGACAGTGAATTGACTCGACTTCAGCAAAGTTACTGAGGACTTACAGTGGTGAAACAAAGCAAAGTCTTTTAAACACTCAATTCAACTTTAAGCTGTGCAGTGGGCACGAGCAGACTAACTATGTGATTATGGACCACAATGAATTGCAAACAAAGACTAAACACGTCTAGGAGGCAGAATTTGTTTTAAGGTGCTTGAACAGAATAATACATCTACAAATCTTATTTCATACAAGCCAATGTAGCCAATCCCTTCTTACTTGAGTATTTAACGACAGTTTGCTTGTCTAGATGTTAATTTACCTTGTTTTATATCAAGTCTTCTCTAGCCTCTAATACAAGCTATCCTGTTCTATATAGGCTTTTATTCCTTGGGTAAATGCAGAACTCTTAGAGAAACATACGATACATTTTCAGAGTACAGTTCAAATTTGAACTGTTAGTCTCTGCCACCTTTCTATCTTCTGCTCTAGTACTGCATATTATAATGTCTGAACACTGGCTGTACATGGAAAAATGGTCCAGTCCTGTAGCAAGACTCCATCAAGTGAGGTTGTAAACATAAAGGCAAGCAAGCCAAAAAACAGTTGGGGGGGGGTGGGGGAGAAGGAGTCCAAAGGTTATGTGATTGTAGAAACAGGAAAATTCCCTAGCAACAGTCTTTGCTATCACAAAACAACTATCATTTGCTACTAAACGACATGAATAACATGTATGCAAATAAGAAGTAAAAAAGGACATAAACTGTACAAATAACACTTTCTGTTTATTCAATAGTTCATTCTGAGCAATCATAGGAATCAGAGCTGGCTGAAATTCAGAATTTCCATTTTGAGGGATAGTCCAACATTTCAAAATTGGAACACAGACTAAGAATTTTGAAATTTCCTGTGGAAAGGAAATTCAGAAAACTTTTCCATTTGGAAAAAAAATCTAAATACTGAGAAACCTGTTTAAAGTTTTAGAAGTCAGGGCAACCTGGGGAATTTCTCCAGGGGTGAGGGAGTCACCCTCTGCAAATGGAGGAGGCTAAAAGCTCTGAGAGTTGTTGCTATGGAACTGGGAGGCTAGAAGTCACAGCTGCATTCAGGTTCCTGGTCTTCCAGGCTCTTTCCTGCAGAGCAAAGATTGAGCCAAGGTTCTTAGGTTTTTCAGGCTGTCTGATAAAGAGCTGTGAAGCCACACGACTCCCAGAACCACAGCAGTCCATACGCTGGGGACTGCCATGAACCAGTCCCTCCTGGTCTGGGTTGCAAGGTAAGGTACTCAGGAAACCCAGTCTGTTTTTTCATACAAATTTCACTAAATCAAAGTGTTTCTATGAAACGTTTCTTTTAATGAACTAGTATGTTCTAATAACAAAGTATTTCATCGGAACGTTTCTGACAAACTCTAAGAGAAACCAGAGTTGAACTGATCTGGTCTATTCATTGGTACAAAGCCTATCGATATATTATTGTAAAATAAGCTAGATTGCAAACAATTCGGTGCAAATGCCACATTTCTAACCCCAACCTTCAAGCTCTGCACTGACTTATGAGCTATTGCCCAGAGGTGCACCTATTCTTTCTATTCAGCTGGAAAACACAAGGGTGCAGAATCCATATGAAAGCTTCTGATTTCTTGCTGTAAACTGGAGGAGAATTAGGCTCAGGCTTACCCTAGCTGAGATCCAGCAGTGGCTACTCTTTCAGTCTGTAAGAGCCCGGTTCCTGCTGCCGCCATAGCAGCTGTCATTGCCATCCTCCTCCCGTCAGTCTCTGCAGCACCACTTGTCACTGAAGTTGGCTTGGAAACTTCTCTTATGGTTTGTGTGCTTCTGGCTGTGCTTTGGTGCCAGCTGGACCTCAAGGATGGCCTGGTCTGAGATGCAATTTGGGATGCAATAGATGATCTGACTTGTCCCATGGCACTACCCAAGGTCAAGTAGTTCTCTTTCTCCAAGAGGTTGGTCATACTGCGACTGTTCCCATCTTGTTGGTACAAAGGTGCAGTAGGGCTAGTAGGGACACTGTCAAAGACTGCGTTATTAATGGGCCCTATATAGAATTGTCTTGGATAAGTACGCCCTCTGCTTATAGAAGCCTCCTTACTGTAACTCATGATGTCAGAGCGAGCGTATCTTGGTGGAACAACAACATTGGACCTCCTATTATCTCCATGCCTTTGAGTGAATCCAGACTGATTCCCTCTGTTGTAATAGAAATCATTGTGCACAAATACCATCTTCTCAGGGCTACTCTGGGGACAAATCTCTAATCTCTTTAGAGGCTGCCTTTGAGACCTCTCTTCTACTGTTGTGTAAACATTATATTGTAAGGATTTATTCCCCCAGCCATTTGTAAAAGTAGTTGGTGAGCCTGCCTGCACAAAAAAGATGCAAAAAAATAACAAAAGTCACAAAGAAGATAGCACTTTGGTTTCACAATAACAACAAAAACAAGGTTGCTAATTTCTATTTGAACAGGTCAATAAACTGTGATTTCCACTAGAAGTATGGATGAAAATGGGTTTTATTACACTTTTGTGACTTCCCAGTGAAACTAAGAGGGAGTATTTTCTAGTCATTAGCCAGGGACTGAAAGTCAGGACATCAGATTCTACTTACATCTCTAATACCTGAAATTGTACTTTGAGTTAGTAAGTCACTATGACCTGTATATTCAAAGGAGTTCCCTTGGCATCTCAGTTTAGGCTTGAGTTTTTGAAGCAACACTTACATCTGCAGTTAAATGTCTATCTATGCCTTCAAGACTGTGCAAAAAATGAAAAATGTTGGCTAGGTCAGAGAAAAGCATATTCTGTGATGTTGGTAATAGAAATACAGCAACACAGGACTAAGAGGAACCTCTAGAGCAGTGTTTCCCAACTTTTTCCAGCCCAAGGTATGCTTATATTGTTAACAATTTTCTGTGGCACACCTGTTGAGGTGTTCCTCATCCCCATATTTATGAGTTCATTGTAGCTCCTAGCTGCAGCAAAATTCCGCAGCACGCCTGTTCATTTCTGATGGCACACCATTGTGTCCTGTCACTGCTCAAGGACACCTGGAAAGATGCTTGTAAAACCTGTTCCTACTAATTTCCAGAGATAGATTTCACAGCTTCATTATGGAAATCTGGTCCAGAGTTTCAGCACCCAAACAGAAAGTTTTTCTTAGTATCCAACTTCAATTTCCTTTACAGCAAATTGAGCCAATTTCTGCTCTTTCCATTACCAGTGGATAATAGCTTTTTTTTTCTTTTAACCAGAAGACTGTTATTATGCCCCTCTCTACTTGTTTCTCTTTTGTATCTTACACAAACTCAATTCCTTTACACATTTTTTCCTGGGCCACACTTTTCAAACTTTCAATATTTTTTATTTTTGCTTTTCTCCTCACTTTCCCCAATTTTTTAAGATGAAGTATTTAGACTTATGACTGGCCTCACTTATAACAGTTGCAAGTCATTTCTGTTTTTTTCCCTTCATTTTCCTCACCCTGTCAGATTGATAATATGTGCCTCCGTATGAAGGTCTTGACACAAAATCACTTTCAGTCATGCCCAGTTTATAAACATACTCTGGAACACTGGTGGTTCGATGAAGACTACCTGTAATTGAAAAAGAGCAATGTAAGTATGAACTTAAGAAAAACTGTTTTGTTGTAAAAGGACAATTTATGGTGACACGTATGGTCAGTCTATGATACTGGTACATGGAGATTAAATAGTAGAAAATTGAAAAGTATCAGGAATTCAATATATTACATTCATATTGTGGATAAGCAAGGCTTTCTGATGGCAATGGGTCATTTTTTTCAATTGTGTAGTTGTGCATTTTTATAAAGCAGTATATATTTTAGCTGTCTTATGAATGGAAGCCAATACAACTATTCCACAAAACATTTTGATACAGCAACTAATATATTTAGAAATATTTTATAGTATGATGATTTTTTAAATTAAGTAACAGAGTCATATACATACAGAGCTTATGGCAATGAATGGATACTTAAAAGAACATGTTCAATCTTACATAGGTATTGCTTTCTATTATAGTCACTCTCAAGATACACATGGAGTTAAAAACAGGGCCTGAAGTCAACACACAAAATATGCAAGCAGAGCACAGATGTAAGAAAAGTACAGATGCAATGCAAAGTGTTAGAGACAAAATATATTTATATGTGCATGCTATCATTTGTTAAAATACTGCAGCTACAATTTTGATCGTGAAAATACCAGCACATCTTGTCTGTAGAATTGGTACTTAATAGTTTCTTAACTCAGCTGTTGATGATTGTTTCTTTGGGCTCTAACCTCCTGTTAACATCCTGAAGCAGGCAATGCTTTGTTAATCCCTTGAATGCTGCACCCGGAGTGCACTAAAAGACCATGAGCAAAATCTATGGATTATGAAGACATATGGCATACAACCCTGAGAAAGGAAAGGAGGTTAATGACACTTCCAATCCATATCTGAAAGGTTTCATAATCTTATAGAAAGTGTGGGAGGCATGCTGTACACATTTCTCTGTCTCTTTCCAAGGACTAGCACTGAAGGAAAAATTGTGTTATCTCTTGTGATTCTTGGGTTACAATCTGATTTCTCTCTTAATTAAAAGGAATTTCCCAGTTGTTATCCTTTAATTAATTTCATGTTTCTTAAAGTTCCTTGATTAAAAAGAAAATGAATGACCTTGTAATGGATTCTACTGAAATCCCTGCTCAAAGGGGTCCCATACCTGCGAGTACCTCCACACGCATGTAAAACATACAAAATACTTCTATGAAAGGTAAAGCAAAAGTCAAAAGCTCAAGAAAAGTTGCTCTAGCAATCATAATTGGGTTAGCATGTTATGCAATAATTCATGTAGATGCAAAAACAGTGTTTAGCAAAGGAGAATCTTGAAGAACTCAATGGTAACATTACTTTGATCCAAATGGCAAAGACTATTCTAGATGCTAGGCAAAACCAACCTAAAACATGACATGGGTATGTCAGCCAAAAGTCTCCATCTCAAACTCTAGGGGCCACATTTGCAAAGGCAGTAACATGCCAAATACGTAGATAAGGGTAGGGTGTACAAGAACATCTAAGTGAGCATGTATTTAACAGGCATTGGCTTTCAGTGGGAGTTAGGCACCTAACTTGATTAGGTACGATAGGTATCCTTAGGCACCTAAATAGCTTTTCAAATCTGACCTTGGTAATTATTTTATGGTTGGGACTTGGCAAGAATATGACAGACCAAGAACACTGAATTAGCTTTAAAGAAGAATTATTAAGGATTTTCAGTTCGAACATGTGCATGCTGAAAAGCAGAGTGTAAAGCCAATTGGGCGAATTCAATTAGAGGCTTCAGTTGCTTTGTTCTGGCAAAACCCCCATAAACAAGGCTTACTTGACTGACAAGTTTGTGTCCCTGGAATGGCAGCATGTAGGCTGGTCACAGCAGGCATGTGATCATTTCTTTTTGACATAAGTGTAAATGTCTTTTTCTTAGCCAAGGGCTACCTAAGAACTTGAATAAGTAGTGCCATAAGGAAGCCCAAATGTTCATGCACTTTATTTGATTTATTTTTAGATCACACAGCAGTGCTGTCCTGAGTGCCAAGTAGTACTAAAATGTAGTATAATAATCTGTCTCTTTCAAAATTACACGAGTTTTTTGAAACCTCACAGGACTAACACACCTCCCAAAGAAGTCCGGTTATTTATTTATTGCTTAAAAATCCTTCTTGAAGCAACTCCTCCAGTATCATTACTCCATTTCTTGTTTGTTTCGTGCTTTATGATTGGAATTTTAGGAGAGGCTGAAGGGATCTGGGTGTCCAGCTCACTTTGACTTTCAATGAGAGCTGGGTATCAAATTTCCCCAGGACCTTTGAAATTCCAGCTTATATTGTTATTACTTATCTAGTTGGAACATAAAAGTCCTTGAACAAGGCCCAAGCCTCCTGTACGTTTTGGGCTGCTCTGAATCCACTGTCTGTACACAACAAATAATAAAACAACAATGATCCCCATAGATCCTCATTAACTAAACTAGTATAAGTGTCAGGCTTTTGCACAGCCTTTGCATAACCAAAATATTGTTGATCAGAAATTGCAACATTCAGAGATTTTTTGGTAAACAGAAGCTTTTAGACTTTTACTAGCCAAGTGGTTTAACCTTCAGCTGTCTTGTTAAACTATGCTTCAGCAAACAAAACGTTTTTTTTTCAGCAGCAAACAGGACAGTCATAAGGTTGTGGAATTTCACATTACATTCGTAGTATCTACTCGTTGTTTTTACACCACCAGTAAACAAGGCTGATGGCATTTCTCCCTTAGATTGTGTGCGCAAAACAAAGTGTGGCTTGTAAGAAAATGATCCACCTACTTGTGTCAAAAACTAGTGTTTTAAAGGAAGAGGGGCTAACTTAAACACTGCACAGTTATTTGGCTCACAAGAGGAGACCTGATTTATGCTTGGGTTGTCTCCCTTGAAGGAGGTATTGCATCTGCCTTCTTTTCTCTGGATTCTGTGCTGTCTGGGGCTATGTGCTTTGTCTCAAATTTTGCAGTTCCGTCAGCCTCAGGGAGGCAAAAATTATGAGTTCGTTCTAATTCAATCAGCTTAAAAAACAGCTGAAAAGAAAAACGAGTTTAAAACCCACTGGCGTAACTAGATGCTTGAGCACCCTGTGCAGCATTGGCAGAAGGTGTGGTGGTAGTGCAGCGGCTGCTATTTTTGTGTCCCCTCCCCAAAGGACAGCACCCAGCGCTGGAGCTTTGGTCACTCCACTCCCAAAAGCAGTGGGCTTTTTAAAAATAAGGTCTGGAGACTTCTTGTTTTTCTTTAGGGTTAATATTTTCAGTCTTTTGTCTGCAACAAAGAAAGGTAGAAATTTAATCTTAGGTTTTATATGTTGGTTTCATAGTTTCATAGTTGGTAGGGTCGGCAGGGACCTGAGCAGATCATCAAGTCCGACCCCCTGCCACAGGCAGGAAAGAATGCTAGGGTCAGACGACCCCAGCAAGGTGTCTATCTAGCTTCCTCTTAAAGACTGCCAGGGTAGGAGCGAGGACCGCTTCCCTTGGAACTTGGTTCCAGATCCTAGCCGCCCTGACTGTGAAGTAGTGCCTCCTGATATCCAGCCTGAATCTGCTCTCTGTCAGCGTATGCCATTGTTCCTTGTTACTCCTGGTAGTGCTCCGGGGAACAGGGACTCTCCCATTGCCTGCTGGTCTCCCTTGGCCAGTTTGTAGACAGCCACCAGATCCCCTCTCAGCCTCCTCTTGTGGAGGCTGTCGTTGTTAAGAACAGCAACAAAATGATGTAATTTCCAAGACTCCAATAACTGAGTCTTTGGGGAAGAAAAGTAACAAACCACCAACATTGCAAGAGTTGTGATAACACTGGAAAAAATGGCAAATAAGATGTGTGGGAGGAGTCCTAAAGAGGCTGAGTGGACTATTGTAGATATCTTTGGAGAGTATTTCTCGAGCATCCCTCCTTGCTTCCTTGGGCATGTGACTAGGGTTATTTACGTGTCTCAAAACGCATATGTACTTAATTTCTCCCAATAAATAACCAATAACCATGGGCCATGGTGCCTTGCTTGTATCTGTCAAGTCAATTGACCTATATCTTAAAAATACAATGATAATAAGGCAAATCTGGTGCCCCTGTGACTGCACAAAAGATGAATAGGACAGACATTCTTTAGGTAAAGCAATTCAGACACAAGATAGTTCAAATCTGGTATGTGGTCACTTCTCACTTCTGAGGCTTTGTAAAGTATTTTTTAGCTGTCTTTGGACAAGTTACAATCAAGAAGGAATCAAGAAGTCCTGCAGATATTAGTATATGAACAAGCCATCTTGGGCCATGATCCTACCATGGGTCTTGATTTTTCACATCATGAATTCCTGTTCCTTACTCTTGCTCAAGGTTGGTGAAAAAGCCTCTTTGAAAGTTTTGGGTTCCTGCCTTCCTTTTTTCTTCTGTCTTTTTCACATTCCAGCACTCAAGAAACACCAATACAACTGAACTTTTGCCAAATTATACTGGAATGTCAAAGAATCATAGAACCTAGAGACAGTATCCTGTCCATCTCCCTGCCAATGCAGATCTAGGCCATACATTACATTTCCAATAATTTAAGAGGACCCTCCCCCACCCTGCTTAATTCTTTAGGAAGCAGTAGCAAAAAAATTAACAATGAGGACAGGAACAAAAGATGGCACTCTTCAGCACATGCTCCTTTTATCTAAATGCCTTTCACTAGAAGGATTTAACAGGAAAATTAAATGTTCTGTCTGTCCTACTGAACCTGATCTAACTTCTACAGACATTTAGACCTTCAAAACTGGACAAGACAAAATCAGCTAAAAACAAAGCATGAACTATATAGAAAAGAGAAACGTAAGGGAAATATTTGATTCTCTAATTCTTAACTGCCTTACAGGTGTACATCCAAAACTGTCCATTAGGAAAAGATATAGGTCTATAATTCAAAAAGAAAAAAAAAATCTGACTCATACAGTGTAAATATGTACACAGACAGCAACACCCAAGGCTTTTTTTAAAAAGATATACAGGGAGATTGTGCAATCATATCACTCACTGGAATTGAATAGATGTAAAGAAGGTCAGACAAGTCCAAAGGTGATACTGAAATACACCAGATACAGAATTGAAAGGCCGATGAAGACACACCAGAGATCCAAAATAGCAAAAAAAGAGCAAAATGCTCAAAGTGCACATGGAATAACCAATACTGTTAAGTTACACATACAAACTGAAGAGAACTCCAGGCTCACTACTGTGTAATATTTTTGACACTGTTAACTACAACATCCTAGTCTTTAAGTAGAACCAGATAGGTACAGAGACATTCAGAAATTTCATTGGACTGTTTTATGTTTTTGTCAAAAAGAAACAAATCCGAGCATTTAACCTATAAATATATAGCAACTGAATACACAACAGCTTGAAACATGCCACTTAATGTCTTGGCAAATAATAATAAATATCTACATAATCATTTAACAATGAAAATTATTCTCCACTGACTATGTATGTCTATTAACAAAGGAACTGAAGCAGCTCTTTGTTTTAATCCTTTAGCAATTGAGAGAATTCTCACTTCAAGATTAGCTACATTCTCTCAAAGAACAAAGAGCACAAATTTAAAAATGGGCCTAAATTTCTAATGTAAAAAAAAAAAAAAAAAGAACAAAACCTTCCTTCCCCACTTCCCTCTACAAAACCAAACCTTTCAGGATAAGCATATGAATCACGAAACATCAAAAGCAGAGAAAAAAATCCGTTCTTTCCTTCCTATGTAAGCCTTTAAGGCTATGCTGGTGCCATTCCTTTGATCCTTTAAAAAAAGTTGCACTGTTTGATGCTATATATTTGTATATTTCTCCTATGGCATAGAGTAGAACTTACAGGTGCATAGAGCATAAGGATTGCCCCCCAGTACAGTATATACCATTGTACCATTTTAGTCCTATGGGACCCAGTGCTTACATGCTTTCCTAATTTTAAGTACATGAGTATATCAGTTAGGTATGTGCTTATCTTGCTGAACTAGGACTGAAGTGTTTACAGACTGGGCTTTTATGCCAAAGGGAACCGATACTTTTTTTGTTCGCATTCCCTGGAACTTCAGAAGGTTTAGGATCAGGCCCTTGATTAATTTAGCCAGTAGTATCAAAATTTGAAAGATATTGTAATGAAAGGAAATGGGTATTTTTCTCCACTTAAAACAGTAGCATCTCTAAATAAAATACTTACAACATGAAGATTGAAATGTCATGAAAACTTTAGGCAAATATTGAGCAAGCCTTTGGACAGGGCTTATTTAGTTAACACCCCCCCCCCCCCCAAAAAAAAAAACCCCCAAAAAACAAAAAAGAACCCAGAGAAGAAAAACAGACCAAAAAAACAAACAGACAAAAAACAAAACCCCAACAATGAAGCAAATTCCACTTCGTTTTGGTCTTTCTGAGCTTCAGGGTGGAAATAACTGATAGAGATGAAATAACCAACAGAGATGTGATAAACACAAGTGCGTATACATATAACAAAGAAGTCTAAAAGAGGATCTAACTAGGTGCAAAGTCCTTATTTGTATAACCAGTGCACAGCTCACAGGCATTTTATCTACTATCCTTGTTTTTGAAACTTACTTTTTAAAGTTACTGGCATCTTAAAAATGTAAAATGTCTAAAGTACTTGAACTTTAGTGGGGGGAAGAAAAAGGCAGCAGCAAAACAAAACCATCCCAAGCCCACACCCATCATGAGTGTAAATACCCAAGGAGCTAGAAAAAGCTAGAAGAACTTGACTTTCATAGTTCTTTATGTATTGTTGATGTAGGCGTTGCCTCAAGCCACCACATCCCCTCATTTATTACCTTAAACTGCATTTTTCAAACATCTTGTCTCCATTATCAGAAAAAAATGCATTTAAATATAACAAACAACACAACTTTCACAAATGGTTGGAAGGTTTTTTTTTTTTTTTATATATGTATTGCAAGCACACACGATATTTGAAAATAGAACTGACATGCCGCCTACAACTACCACATACCTGACTATGAAACTCAGAAAAACCTGGGTAGATGGGTGCTCTCCATAGGATTTTTTTTTGTAGGACTGTGGCTGTATCCTATTAATTTTTGGTCACTAATATTTTAGCTGGGTGCTGGACCAACCATTCAATTTCTTATACAAATATAATGTGGCTATTTCCATATAGACATACAACTCGTAGCAACAACCAAGCAACGGCATATTCTAAGCCAGGTCATTTATATTTTTACATAGAAAAATACAATTGAAGCAGCTTTTTTGATTATTGAGCATTGCATCTTCAGCTTTTCAATGTCTTTAAAAACACAGCCCCATACCCATCCTCTGTATACTACTCAAGCTGAAGCAGTGGCAAGCTGAAGGTACTTTCTCAGCAGTTCACATGAAGCTCTCAACACCTCACAGGATGCAACCAAATCTAGGTGGAGGCAAGGGTGCGGCTACACAGATCCTTTGAAGGATTTGGGCTTCACTCTAAAAGTTTGTAAAGACACAGATCAATTACTTTTGCCCATGGAGGTCTCTGCACATCACTGTGTAATGTTAATACTAGTCTTGAATAGAATTATTGTTCTATATTTCTCCTTTGCTCCTTCCCCATGCGTGTTTTGCTAAGCCTCTCTTTTGTTTGCTTGATTTTTATATCTGGGGCCAGAAAACAAAGCAAACCATTGCTTTCTTTATTTCCTTCCTTCTTTCTTTAACAAACAGGACTAGCTAGGCAAACAAGACCTTTAACAATCACACTGAAAATAGTTACAGGTTGGCGGGAAAGAAGCCAGACTGCTCTCTAACGATTGTAAACCAGAAGTCACCCCATTAAAGCAAAAGGAGACGAAGTGGCGAAGTGTGAAGCGTGCAGTTCATTTAATCAAATGGGGAAGAAAACAAGAGCATTGAAATAAAAAAAAGTCGTGTGGGAAGACTTTTTTGGTAAAATATTGTAATAAGGGGACAGGTCCCATCAGATACATGTCAAAGTCATTTCTTCAAGGTCCCCGCAAAGCTTACAGGTGCTAAGATAGAGGATGGAAGTGATATTATGTTAACCAAAAAAGAAAATAGCTGAGAGGTGGTACAGTCATCCACCCTGGCAATCTTCAAAAAGTCTTGATGTCCATCTTGTTGGGGTCATCTGACCCCAGCAGCCTTTCCTGCCCAAGTGCAGGGGGCTGGACCCGATGAGCTGTAAGGTCCCTTCCAGCCCCTAATAACTATGAAACTATGTTAACACCCCCTCTCTGCTCCCCCCCAAAAACTAAAGTTCAAGATCTTCAAGAAGGATTTAAGCACATAAACCCCAATGTCTTTCAACTCAGACTGGCACTTTGAAGCCTCTTTGATGGAAAACAAAACCAACCCTCCCTCCCATTTATAGGGCTACACACACATGCTTGAAAGCAAGGGGAAAACCAACAGAAGCTCATGTCACGCCTAGGGCTAACAGCTCACAGAGGCAAAGAAGGAAAAGAATGGAGGAAAGAGACCCCGGGAACGGGAAGGCTGGTACCCGCTCTCCCAGGGTGGGACCAAGGGTAACTGGCGCCCTAGGCGAACTGTGTACCTCGGTGCCCCCACCGCTTCCAACACAGATGAAAATATGAAGTCTACAATGAACTTCTAGAATCTCAGAGATCTTTTCAGAGGTCTTTCTCCCCTTCCCCAACCACAGGTCTTAGACCAAGGTGGAGCCGTAGCTAGCCAGGGTTGTCATTTAGAATGATGCTCCTTTTATTTTGTCCTGCGTATCATTTTGGCACCACCCAAATTTTGGCGCCCTAGGTGACCACCTCATTTCCCTAATGGCTGGACCAGCCCTGCAGTCCCTGTTTCAATGGGCTGGCAGATCCATGCGCACCCCTGGCACTGGGTTTACTCTCGGGCGTGGGAAGCGGGCGGCACGGGGTTGGGTTCGCAGGCGCTGGGGTGCCCTTTGGAGGGGGGGAGGGGTGCGCTGCGCGGCGGGTGGCGCCCAGGACTGCCCTGCCGCACAGCACGAAGCACTAGGGGCTCCCACCAACCAGGCAGGCTCAGGACCCACGTGCCCGGCAGCGCTGGGGAGCGGGCACGGGGACGGGCACAAGGGCCGGGCACCCCCCC